AAAAAAAAAAAAAAGCTTTGCTTTTTCAACATTTTAGATATAGACTCTTGTTTCATGATACATATGACTCAACAGCAAATGACTAAGCTGGGAGTCAAACTCAGGTCTGTCTAGCTCCAAACTCCATGCTCTTTAAATCATATCAAATCTCTCCTGGATATCCCTTTAGTCAGGTTGCCAGAATAATTTTAGGCACATGGATCTTTCATTGAGGAGGGACTATAGCACTCAACCCACTTACTGGAAATCCAAATTACCAGTCATTATTGAATCAGCATAAAAAGTCCACAGGGGACATTCTCAGTAATGAAGGTCTTCATTTATGTGATCTTTCCCTAAATGAAGAATTCACTAGTTGCAGGAAATTTTAGTGGGTGTTTTCACAAATTAGTCCTCTAAGAAAAATAGAAGAAGTATCAACAAAATGAAATTTTAGGCATTATGTGTTTTAATAAGCAGTTCTCAATTGCCTTCTTAGTAATTTTGGGGTTCCGTGTTAGAAAACACATAAGTTTGAGAGACAAGGAGGTCCAAATGAGAGGCAATGAGACAATTATTAATTTGCTTTACTATGATGGCAGAACACTAGTACGTAAAACAAAGCTTTGGAGCAGTGATTCCAAGATGGCGGATTCTAGATTGAACAGAGGTGTGAAAGGCAATTGAGAATATCAAATCAACAGGTGCTTAAGAAGAATGAATAAAAATTACCCAATTGAAGCAAATGAGAAATTCCTTGCAACACAAAGTGTAAAACACCTACTATAAAAATCTTCAGCTATATAAGGCAAAGGAAGATGACTAAGGAAAGTATCACTTGCTTTTTGGGAAAAATGTGATAAGTATTAAAAGAAAATCAAGTTACCTCTGTTTTTCTGAAAAATCTCTATTAGGAATCAGCCAGAGTTAATGCTACATTCAAAAACTAAAAATGTTAACTATAATTGGGGAAAAAGTAACAGAGACTCAATCAATAGGTCCTAAAAACCAGAATTTATAGACTAACCAAAACATGTATCAGTATAGATTCAAGTCATTGAGAACTGTGATGGTATCAAAAATGTGGTGAGTGGGGCACCTGGGTGGCTCAGTCAGCTAAGAGTCCGAATCTTGGTTTCAGCACAGGTCATGATCTCAGGGTCCTGGGATCCAGCCCCATGCTCAGTGGGGAGTCTCTTCTCTCTCTCCCCCTCTCCCTCTGCTTGTGCCCCTCTCCCCACATGTGTGTGCGCAAGTGCATGCGCACGTTCTCTCTCTCTCCCTCAAATAAATAAATAAATCTCAAAAAAAAAAAAAAATTAAAAGTGGTGACTGAAAAGGAGAAAGTACTGTATCCTAGTGACTGTAGACTTCTTTTTAGAGGTCAGCAACCAATCATTTCTCCATTTTAGCCTTTTTTTTTTTTTAGTGAAATCTGAAAACTTACACTATAACAAACTTCTATTGTGGCTATTAATAAAAATTTCATTTAAGGAATTTAACCTAAGAAATAACAGCTTTACTAACTTTTTATCAGTTTTTGAAACATTTACCATTTTTAAAGACATCTTATTTTCTCTTCACCTAAAGGAAAAAGAACCTCGTTTAGTGTACTGCCCTCTTAAAACACTTTTTAAAAATAACTGGAGAAGGTAACTGAGAACTGCTTATTAAAACACAGAATCAACAGGAAGTCTTTCTTAGACCTGAAGCAAGGTTTTTGGAAATGCCAATTATAGCGCTATGTTCTAGAATTCAGTAAGAGTTCTTTGAAAGTCTAATGCTAGCTCCACATTAAAACAGTGATCATAAGGCAACAGATATGCTACATTGACATTCAAAGGAATGATGAAACATCACTTACATGGCTTCTTAGGGCATTTCTGGCATTTGTTAAAGCCCCAGGAGGTACCCACAGTTCCACAGCAGTCCTCCTGCTTTGAAAGGCCAGGGAGCGCCTTGCCACACTGCAGTGATGAGATGTGAAATAGGAAGGTTAATTGAGTGCAAGATGCCCAGCCCTAGAGCACTGCTGGGCTTCCCGGTCACATTACAAAACAGTTCCCTTGTTATCGACACAATTAGAGAGGGATAAAAAACAAAAAAAAAACAAAAAACCCCTCAAACTTTGAAACAAAACACCAGAACCGAATCAATACGACATTAATGAACAAGCATATTTCTAAGAGCTTCTTGGCATGTTGAGAGTCTTAAGAAAATCTGTCACTGCTCAGAGCACTTCATAAAACATACGTTTCCAATGCCCCCCTTTTCTGTTTTTTTTTTCCCTTAAGAAGAATCTCAACTCGGGGTGCCTGCGTGGCTCAGTCGTTAAGCGTCTGCCTTCGGCTCAGGTCATGATCCCGGGGTCCTGGGATCGAGCCCCGCATCGGGCTCCCTGCTCCGTGGGAAGCCTGCTTCTCGCTCTCCCACTCCCCATGCTTGTGTTCCTGCTCTCACTATCTTTCTCTCTGTCAAATAAATAAATAAAATCTTTAAAAAAAAAAAAACTCAACTCAAAAGTTCAACATAAACTTTTAAAATTTAGTGTAACTGCTGGAAGCTCTGCTGTGGATCATCAGGGAACAGAGCTGTAAGGGTGTGGGGCAGGTGTGTCAACCTTGAGAAAGTGGCCCAGGTCCCATCTACAAGAGGCTTTTGGTCTTCTTATAACCACCAAGGCCTTGGCAGGAACAGGACAGGAGAGGGCGGGACAGGAAACGATCACTGGCTCCACCAGATCAGCTTTGGCAGAGATGAAAGCCCCACACAGCCACGTGGTCTGAGCCAGGGAGGTCAGCCAAGTTAGGAAGGGGCTGGCAGGGTTAAGCAAAGGCTGGCAGGGAGAAGAATGGGGCTTACAGTTGTCAAATATAAAGACCCATCTCCTCTCCTGGTAAATCACGGGAGGTCTGAAGAGGCTGAGAGGAAGGGGCCTGCAATCAGACTAACCCAATGAGGTCAGGAAGGGCCTAGGCCAACAGATCCTACTCTGTGTACCCACTCTGAGGCCATCTGTGCAAGAAAGGCCACGTGGCTCTCCATCGACACTTTTGTCGGCTAAGCCCAGAATCCACACCTGAAGGGTCATTCTGCCTTCCTCTGCCTCAACCTCTGAAAAGTCCTCCAAACAGTTTCCAGTGTCATCTTTCCAAAGACGTATCTGATGACATCACTCAACTGATTAAAAACCTTCCGTGATTCCCATAGTCTGAAGACCGCAGACGCCCTGGGATGATATACAGGGTTTTCCCTACCCTGCCTCAGAGAAGATGACTTTCCCTCTGCCCCCCTCCACCTCTCTACATCTAGCCTTCGGGCACACTAAACGACTGTTTATTTTCTGAACAAATGTCTTTCCAAGAGCTGTCTCCTTCCTCTGCTAAGCCCTATACCCCTCCTTTTCCCTTTGCCTGGAGAAACTTTACCCAGCGAACTCCAGCTCTGAAAGGCTGTCATGGCGAAGCCTCCTGTCTCCTCAGCTTCAGCGAGCTCCTCCTTTCTCTGCCCCCCACAGCACACTACACAGATCCACTGCCTCCGCTACGCTTTTTAATTAAATGCAGATGTATCTTACGTATCTTTATATCCCAATACACAGTGCCCATGCTCAATAAATTCTGAACGAAGGAAGGAGCAAACGATCCAAGGAATTAAGAAACAACCCAGCTGCGGTCCATCCAGACAAGCAGTGGCTCTGTGAAAACCAGGAAAAGGTAGCAAACACACCCAGGCTAGTGAGCGCAACACGGTGACAGAGAGTCTGGGCAGGTGGTGACCCTTAGAAGGGCAGGGGACGCCAGGCACCTGGCAGGCCTACGGGTCCAGGCAGACAGCATTCTGATGGAGGCTGTAAGTGACTACAGGTCCAAAATCGTAAAACAAAGCCAGGGAAGGCCCAGCACAGTTAATGAAGGTTTAGTTCCATCCTAGTTCTGACGTCCTTAGGTTTTTGTGGTTTTTAATAAGATTTTGACAGGATGTTGTGTGCTCTCGAAGACAGTAAATGATGGGGGTTTGGGGGGTGGGGGAGAGAGGGCAGGGAGATGGGGAAGAACGTGAACACACCAACAAATAAGAACCTGACAGAAGAAAAGCATACAGTGGCTGGGTTCAGGTCGTTCCTGGACTCCTTCGGCTCAGTCACAGAAGGCTTATAAGAAAGAGGAAGCAGGAAGAAGGAAGAGAGAACTGTGCTATGGGTCTAAGACTGGAAACCAGCGATGATGTTGAGAACACAGAGGTCTGTCTCCACTGCTGCATTCTGCTGCCAGGGTGCCTCCTGTTCATTTCCAGTTTTATCAAGACACCAGTGTACCTCAGATGTAGATCATTCTTGTACTAGACTCTTCAGGTTCTTCTCTTCATCAAGTAAAACTTTCAACACTTGGGGATTTTATATGCTCAAAATTTTAGTAGCAGTTAAAATCCAATTTTCACCTCAGATTCCTAGAATGTTTTATTTGGTAGGGTAAAAATAAATCATCTCTCTCTACCAGGCCTCAGAAAAGGTACAAGATTTTCATTACAGGATTCGGGCTGCTTTATCCCATGGCTTTGTTTTTGCAGGTCCAAGGCCAAGAGCAGCACAAACCATCCAAATCGATTAAATAAATGACGGTGTAGGTGGTACCACGAAACTGTGTGTTCTTCTCAAAATTGGGCCTGCACAAGATAATAATAGGCTGCAAGGGATGAAGTCAGGCTTATAACAAGGCACAACTCACACATGCCCCTTGAGGTAGTTAATTATGAAGAGGCTTCCATGAGAGCCAGAAAAGGCCTGAGAGATCTTTGTGGCCACAGGCAGGCTCTCACACAAGAGATTACACCTACCACCATGAGGTCTGACTTGGATGTAGGAAGTAGCTAGAGGAAAAAGAAGGGGGAAGAGGATCTTTTCTCCTCCACACTAAAGGTCACTTTGGGGAGAATCACGAAGAACAGGAGGAGTTAGCATTCAGAATGCCCTTCTCTACAAGTAGTGGATTCTGCTTCTTCATGAGACACCATCCCAAGGACCCAAGACGGGCTCTGCCCAACTGCATTTTTATGCCCAGATTGAGGTGATTTTTGACAAGTTAAAAACACAAATGGAATTTCTCCTATGTGACTCATTCACCACATTTTCAGAGAAAGCCTATCTCTCATTTCAAGGCATCTCTTATGTATAAGCCATCCAGAAGAAATGTACTAAAAAATTTACAACCAATATTTAGCTATCTCAAGCCAGAAAGAAAAATCTATCCTGTCAAATGAGCGTTGTGCTGGAGCTCCTCAAAAACCTCACCCACCCTCGGGCTGCACACCGGGGACACTGTTACTCCACACGTCCGTGCTAGGTTCGGCAAAAGCACGACCCACCTAGAGCAGCAAGCAGAACAGTGCTGGTTCTGATAACCAGGTCCTGTGAGCGACAAGCGAAGAAAGGAGAGGCGAGACTCTCCTCATCATGGTATGACCATGATGGCGGAATTGAGATATGTTAAGCAAGCTTGTTGGCCGAAGCCAGGTGCGTGATAAAGGGATGAGCAGGACTAAAGGCCACAAATCAAAGGAAGAGAGGATTTATGTCATTCAGCAGGAAACCTTTTTGACAGTGAATGCTCCTCAGCAATGGAAGATGCTGACATCTTCACTGGGAGCAGAAGCTGGAGGACCACCAGGCAGGAATGTCCAGGATATGAAGTGGGTGACTTCTATGGTTTCTGCCAGGTCTGGGGTTCTGTGTTCAATACCTACTGATAGGTCACATTACTTGATTTAGAAAAGGCAAATTACGAGACACTGGAGCCAACCTGAAGAACTTTTGTTGCTCTCACATCTGTGTCCAGGACTGTGTTTGGGTAGATGCACTCCTAACCATCTTTTTAAAAGTATTCCTTCCTTCCTCACATTAGTCTCTCCAGAGATGCTCACCCCAGGCTGAGCTTCCTCCTACAGGACTTATGTAAACTAGACAGAAAAGAGAAAAACATAGAGCTACCCCCAGCCCCAATTCACCAGTGCACTGGCCATGATTCTTAGAAGACTGAGTGCAAGAAAATAATTCAGGGACCTTTCCTCCCTCCCTGTATCAGCACTATGTCTCCAAAGGTAAAGCTATTCAAGAATTGTTACAATTGCTCCATGAATAGCCGTGTTTTACCTTTTATAACACAAAATTATCACACGCGATGGCACGAAAACCTTTAATTTTTAAAGTAATTGTTAAGAATAAACAGACTGTGGAATAATGTACTTTTCTAAATCTTGACCCGGCTGAGAAAACTTCAGACTTCAACCTCAGCTTTGAGGTACTACATTGGCACTTTCTTGATCCTCAAAGTTAAGCTGTGATTGCCCTTGTTTTTAGATCTCCCTATAAATACATGAGCAGGAATGATAGTTCAAAACTTACCATTTGGCAACCAAGGCCCGTCATTTTTGTCAATTAAAAACTCACCACTGGAGATGCTCCAGAGATGAATGGTAATTTGAGGAGGTTGTGATAAATATCGGAGCATGGCTTCATAAGATTTCATTTTCATGCCTTAAAATTACTAGTACCCACAGTATCCTCATTCTAAGAGTGTTTGCTGTGTTTTGCCGGGATCTGGGGAAGGAAGATCCAGTGGTGGGTAAAAGAAGAGGGTGCTGGATTATAATTAGCAAACCTGGATCCAAATCCCCACTCTCTCTCAGGAGCAGTGAGATGTTCACCAGACTGTCCAGCCTCTCTGGGCTAATAATGGGACAATGGGACAATAATCCCAACAGCAAAGGATTGTGGCGAGATTAAATGATGTCTGTCTGCCCTATCCCTTCAGCTCCTGTGCAGGGACTGGAAAAAAGTGACCCTTAAGATGTGTTGTGCATCAGGACATAGCATTCAGTAAACAGAGCGTGGGCTGAATCCTCGTCTGCCCTCTCAGCTGGTGTCCCGTGTTGAGTACAACCTAGAAAATGTTCAAGAGCTGGCTATCTG